TGCCTTGGCACTAAGCTGCCTCACTTTAGCGCCGAGGTCTTTCCCGTTTTGGCTTGTCAAGCTCCCATCCAGCCCGCCTAGTTCCGTCAAGGTCTTGGCCTTGCTTGTACGCAGCCCACTCTTGCTTTAGTGTAGTCCGTCACACCTTAGCCCTCAAATACAAGTGTAGTCCGTCTCACTTGCTTAGCAACAGTTTGTTGCCATTGACAACACCCCCGCATTGTCTTGCATGTTGATTTTCCCTCGCACATAGGCCAATGGCAAGGCCATCATGCCAAAATCCTTGCCACTGCCGTGCCGCTTGCCGATCAGCTTTGTCAGGGGTCTAACAGATAGCTAGTACGCATGAGTTTCCAAGACTTGCTAACTTATTACACATTGATATAGGAACTATTCTACTAGACGATAAGCCTTCTTTATCTGCTTGAATGATTGGCAACACAGACTCTGGAGGGTAGGCTATAATAGATAGATGATCATTTGTAGCTTGCTTGGATATTTCCTTTGCCAAAACATGAGCTATTTTGTTTCCTTCCCTGAAGCTATGCCGGATCACTGGATTCCCAACCTGATACCTGCAAGAATCAATAATATTCTGATAAATAGGAAATTTCTTGTCCAAAAAGTCAATAGACTCAATGGAGTCCGTTTCATTTCAATGGGAATTAAAAGATGGTCGGCCGCTAGTTGCAACCCATGCTCAAGTGCGCTAAGCTCCGTGTGGGTGTGGTTGTAAGCATGAATCTTTTTTGAATATCCTAAGACCCAATCACCATTTGAATTCCTAATAACACTACAAATGCCACCACTTTGATCCTTTTTCCCAAAAAGAGCCATCAATATTTAGCTTAAAAATTTCTTGGGCAGGAGGAAACCACCTAACTTGGATATTTTTTGTTAGGGTGGGGGGTGTTGTGGCCCCAGTGCAATACTTGAATTCCATAGTCTGCATAAAAACTATTCTGATATCAGGAAACAAGGCAGTTTTATTAAAAACGTTATAATTTTTATTCTTCCAAATGTGCCATAAGGCAAAAAGGAAAGAAGATATCCCAAGTTAGGGGATGATTATAGATGGGGAGATTAATGTCTTTTATTAGTTGGAGCCAGTGTGTCTGGTGATAGGGGATAACACTGACATTTAAACCAAGGTCCATCCAGAATTTTCTAACAACGAGGCATTCAAGAAAAATATGGTGGATAGATTCTCCTGGATGGTTGCAAATGGCACAGTTGGGTTCTACCTTGATACCTATATGATGCAAGTAATTGTTTGAAGGTAGCCTATTATGTGAGCAAAGCCAAAGGAAGAATTGGATCTTATTAAGAGTTTTATGGATCATATCCAATTAAAGTTGGAGCTATTATAGGGAGTGGAATGAAGGAGCTTGTAAACAAACTTAGTGAAAAGTTGCCATTTTTATTACTAGACCAATAAGGAGTATCTGTTATATCCTGACTCAAGAAGATTGCCGTAGTTTTATTGATAATCTCGTTGGGGAGCTAGAAGGAGATTCTTGACCAATCCCAGTTGACGTCGTCCTAAATGTTATGTAATTTAAGGCCGTGGTCTCACAGAGTTAGTGGACCATGGATAATGGAATGGACGGGAGGAGTGGAAGGGATCCATCTAGAGTTCCAGAAATCAATGTTTGTCCTTGACCTAGAGGCCCATGCAATAGCATTTGCGCATAAGTTGCCACCCTTTAAAATATTTTTCCAAATAAAAGAGTGGGAGGATGAATTATTCTTGAAGCAATATCTATTAATTAAAGTATGGGCCCAAAGGGAATGATGTTGTGAAAAACGTCTCCAAGAAAGACTTGTAAGAAGTGCTAGATTTTTATCATGGGCTTTACGAACCCCCAGACTACATTGGTCCTTTGGTAGGGTGATGGTGTCCCAATTAACATAGTGAACCTTTTTTCTTTGTGAGGTAGTTCTCCATATGAAATTCCTTTGAATTTTATCAAACTGCGACAAGTTTTTTAAGGGAGCTGAAAATATTGTATGGCATATGACGGAATGGATTTAATAGTAGAATTAACAAGGGTGTCTGTCGGCTGGTGTTAGGAAGTTTAACTTCCAGCTTGCAAGTTTACTGTTCATATTATCGAGAATATATTGAAAATCGGAGGCCTTTGGTTTATGATTAAGAATGGGAAAACCATGATATTTGCCAAAAGTATGCGTAGCCTTAATATTCAAGAGTTGTTGGACTAAGATTCGAGGGCTATCTTGACAGGTTCTGGAGAAAATGACCTTGGATTTGATTGGATTGATTTTTTGACCCGATAAGTGGCAAAAATGGTTCAAGCATTGGTGAATAGAATGGATAGACTTAGGGTTAGCTTTGGCCATGAGGGTGAGGTCATCTACGAAAAATAAATATGATAATTGAGGCCCATTTTTTATTAAGGATGATAGGATCCCAGAGATGGAGATCTACTTGGTGATTAATGTATGTGGAGAGAAACTCCATGCATAGTATGAAAATATACGGGGACATGGAGTCTCCTTGACGGATGCCCCGTGATGGTCAGAAGTAGTTAGTTTTTGTACCATTAACAAGAATAGCAATATTACTAGTACAAATGCAGTTTAAAATGAGCTTTGTAATCTTAGGGAGGAATTTAAAAAAGAGGAGGGTACGGTAGACAAATGACCATTCAATGCGGTCGAACTTTTTCAAGATCAATTTTGATTACAAGCTTACCCATTGCCCTTTAGTTTTGTTTATATGATTTAGAACCTCAATAGCATAACAAGCCCTGCGTCCCTTGATGAAGCTGGTTTGGCAGGGACCAATAAGGCCAGGTAGGTAAGGCCTAAGACGATTTGCAATGATCTTGGTAATTACTTTATAAATAGTGTTACACAAGTCAATAGGCCGAAAATTCTTAAGATCATTTGCGTTATGGAATTTGGGGATAAGGCAAAGGTACGTATTCTTAAGATCATTTACTACCCTTAATTTAACTTTTAATTGTCAAAAGAAAAAAATTACTCAAGTTTGGGGAGCCGCCAATCTATTCAGCCTAATTAAAGTTAGTATCATTCTTTGTTAAGATGCACCAACATGTTACAGCCGTCTCATATTTATCACTTTCTGCTATAAGACCAGGGTGAAACAATATAAATTGGAGAAAAACAAAAACATAAGATAAAGGCACGCGCAATCGGGCACTGCAGTAACGTTTATATATTCTGGTAATAATGACAACTTAGATTTGAGCAAGTTATTTGGAAATTGGAACCTAAAACATAATAATGACCAAATTGAACATTTACACTTCACAACAGAAAACCTCTGAAAGATTAGTCATACTTAAAGATGTTAAGAAATCATACTACATTTGTTCCTCAGTCACTTTACACAAACAAAAACTATTCATTCAAGTGATGTACTAACAACAGTACTCTGTTAGTCCGTTTGTAATATTCAAAAATACTGATACTAGCAAAGGGAACAATACAAAGCCTCTGTATCTAGTAATTTTTCAGTTCCCGCAATCTATTTAGTTTCAAAATGATGAGTTTATTCAAATACTCCATCTGTTCAGCTCCTCAGAAGAGGCTCTTGACAGATCTTCATTTGTAGATCTTGATAATGACATCGAACAGTCTGTTGAAGAGTCAAATTAAGAATTAATATTAGTCGAATATAGTACATACTATTAAACAAAACAAAAAAGGATTAAGAACAGAATTTTTTTTGACAAACAGGGTATTCACCTTTTGCGGCTGAGCTGTAGCACCTTTTGCAATGAAGAATAGCACCTTGGATTCCGTCATTTTGCTCCAGCAGTGAATCGTCTCTCCGGTTCATCGGCGACGCAACGAATGACGCCGTCGACCGGCTCTTCCTTAGCTGTTTACGAACAACTCCAAGTACAGCAACTCGGCTCCCCTGTTTTCCCTCTTCTGATGATTTTCTGGGTAAGCTCAATGATTGCATTGACGGAGAACACAATTGACCTGCTCTTGAAACATTGTCTGATATTTTTATATTGTCGGTGTACCTTTTGGAAGCTCTGGAGTACAGTGGCTTCATTAACTTCAAATATTTGGGCATATCTTGCTTTGACGAGTCTTTAACTGAAGAATCGTCTTCTTCTTGTTGAACTTGGTTTCCTTTTGAACTTTTATTGTATCTGAAGGAAATACAGCTGGCTGGAACCTCCTCCACCTTGCATTTCACCGTAAATCGAGTGCTCTCTGCCTTAGGCGATAGTTTCTGGCCGACTTGAATCTTTGGACTGGCCGCAGAAGAATCGTTAATGCCCACTTTCTCCGGCTTTGACTTCCTGAAGCCCAAGAAGCAGACGCGAAACTTGGGAGCTGATCTGAGTATATAATTCGGAGAAAGAGGCTTGGAGTTTGAGTCAACTGGAAAAGCTTTTGGTTTAAAAAACACATCTTTAGGAGACTCAGGAAGATTGAGTTTGCTCTTCCCTTGCTTTACAGAAGAATCGTCAAGGGGGCCTGTTTCAGAAACAGACTTGGAGTTGTTGTTTTCTTTAGGGTGTCCTGTGAACACCAAATCGAAGAACGAGTCTTCGTCGTCATTGGTTTTTTCATCAGTCTCCAGTGCTCGGTTGTGTAAGTAATCGACAGTGTCGACGAAATTATTAACAGAATCAAGATCAGAGACGATATCTCTAACGGCGGCAGTGCGCCAGAATTTGAGTATGTTAAAAGCATCCATGGATTTCGTACAGAGGTTTTGAATGTAAGAAAAAGGCAAGTGAGCAATGAGGAAAAGTGCAAGAAGAATGAACGTACAAATAGAGCTTAAATATGGTGCTTTATATATAATGAGAATGGAGTTTCGTGAAAGCAGAGAGTTGATGTAAGCTTCTCTACTTTTTGAAATGAAAAGAGAAGAAGACTGAAGAGTAGTAGTGCAAAGATTTGTTGTTATCGACGTTTTTATAGGTAGAGAGATAGAGCCATCGACCATCGTCATGTGAGGAGCAGAGTTTCAGTTAATTAGAAAAGCAGATACTCCCCTACTACAATTCTCGTGCGTCCGCGTATGCACGATTACAGACTATGGACTAGAGGTTAAAATTACGGAGTAAAAGTCTGAAATTTGGGTAACCTCCAATAAATATCAGAAACTTTACTTTTGATTTTTACAGCCTTTTACTGGTCCAACACTCTCAACGTTCCCTATTCCAAGATTGAAAGTTTCAGTCTACCCAACAAATAATATAGCTCAATTTAATTCACAGAAAAAACTACCTTTATGATGACTAATTATGAGCCTGAAACCCTGAACTATAGGTCACTGGCAGGTGTAATAAGCTGGTCTTAGTCTTGAACTATATCGGAGCATTATTTAGACGTTAAAATATAATATAACTCCACAAATCGAACATATTGTTAAAAGGAAAAAGCTAATGTAGCGGTATCGGGTTTAAATCCTAAATCCACAAACTAAGATGGCGCTTTTCCATTCTAGATCGATGACAATGGACAGAGTTTATAAAGAAAACTCTTTGTATCTCTAAGGGGATATCTAGGTTGTGGAAAACCAAGGGAGTTCCATTTTGTGATAATTTTTATCGATCCTAACTTAGGTTGTGGTTGTTGCTGATTCTCTTCCGCAAAGAAGAAACCATTTAGTCTCCTACTCTAGTATTTATGTGATGGCCCGATAAGTCATTTTGAGTTGTAGCTTTTATTTCTGTGTTCCGAAATCTCAAATAGTTCCGGTTAGCATTCCTCGATTTGCATGCACAGTTCTGTCTTTTCCCGAAAAACTTTTTATGTGAAAAATTAAAGAAAATGTAAAATTTAGCCTTAAAATGATATGAGTTGACTACGACCAACATTTTGTGTAAACGAATCCGTATCAGTGTTTTGACGGTTTCACTTGGTCCGCATCGTGAAATCCCTAATTTGATTTAACATGATTTGTTGAAAATTTTGAAGACTTAAAGAATTCCTAGGTTTGACCATAGGTTGACTTTGTTGTTACCGGGTTCGGATTTCGGTTCCAAAACTTGGTATAGTTTAATTTTACTATTTATAACTTTTCTGCAAAATTTAGTGCAAAACGAAGTTGATTTGATGTGATTCGGACATCCGGTTGTAAATTTGGAAGTTCTTAAGTTTCTTTGAGAATTTCATTCATTTTGATGTCCGATTTCGTAGTTTTAGGTGTTATTTTGGTAATTTGACCACACGAGCAAGGTCATATGATGTAATTACACTTGTGTACATGTTTGGCTTGAAGTCGAGGGGCTTGGGTGAGTTTCGAATAGGCTACGGATTGATTTTCAACTTAGGAGGATTGTTGGTTTCAGGTATCCTAGTGTCTGGTGTTTTGTTCTTCGCGACCGCGAAGAGTAACCTGGACTGGGGTGGGATTTCCTCTATGCGGACGCGAGGTTGATGTTGCAAATGCGAAGTAGTTGTGGGATCACCCTTCGTGAACGCGATCAAAGCTACGCGAACGCAATGGGGTATGGGCCTGGAAAGGGATCAACTGTGTGTTCTATGCGAACGCGATCAAATGGTTGCTAACGCGAAGGCTAGGGGCAGAGCCATCATGAACGCGTAGGGCATTACGCGAACGCCAAAGCCGGTAGGGCCGTATTGCTTTGCGATCGTGTCACGTCCTTCGCGAACGCGATGAAGACCTGATGCCAGTGATTTAAAATATCCTAAAGACGGGATTTTTTTTCATTTTTCACCATCTTCATATTAGAGCTCGGCCTAGAGGTGATTTTGAAGAAGAATTTCATCCTCACTTTATAGGTTAGTATATTTTAACTCGTTTTCTTCTATTTCCATCTACACCCATTGATTTCTAACCTTAATCTATGCTCTTTTATCGTAGAAAATTAGAGATTTGGATAGAATTGGAGTTTTTATAAAATTGGGATTTAAACCTCAAATTGATTTCAGATTTTGAAACTAATCACATAATCGGGCTCGGGGTGTATGCGTTATTGTGTTTTGGTTCGAATCTCAAGTTTTGACCAAGCGACCCCGAGGTTGACTTTTATTGACTTTTTGGGAAAAGTGTAAAGATCCTTGCTTTATCTATTGTAATTGATTTTCCTAGCATTGTTTGATGATATTAAGTTGATTTTAGTTAGATTCGATTGGTTTGGAGGCGAATTATAGAGGAAAGGTCTCGGTTGAGATTTGAATTGATTGCGGAGCGAGGTAAGTGTTGGATCTAACCTTGATTTGAGAGAATTAGGAACTCTTGAACTATATGTTATGTGAATTACGTGTGTAACGACATATATGTAAGATGATGAGTGTATATACACCATCAAAATAATGGTTTCCATGATTTCTCGTATTTCATGAATTATCTTATTCCATGTCTTAACTGTTATACGCTTTAATTGTTTTCTATGTCGTAATTTGTTACTTGTCATTAATTATTCTTGTATTGAAATATTCGTCCCTTCCATGATTCTGTGATTGATTGCTACTTGCTTTAATCGTTTTACTTGTACTCCTTAATTGTCACATACTTGATTTGTCTTTTTGCTATTGTATTATTTGTAGCATTCCTTTGATTTGTACATAGTTCCTTTATTGCTTTGCTTTCATATTCTTTAATCGTAGAGATTCTTGTGAATTGAGCTGTTAGATTGTTTACATTTATTGAATTTGTTTACGGATCGGGTTGCACGCCGCAACGATTATGATATGGTGGAATGAGGGAGGATTTTGATAACTGATATGGTGGAATCAGATTGCGCACACAACGGTTGTGTACGTAATACTTGATATTGATAAATTGTGACATGGTGAAATAAGGGAGGATTATGATGATATGGTGGGATCGGGTTGCGCGCTGCAACAGATTTGATATGTGATTTTTGATATTGATATGGTGAAATAAGGAAGGATTATGTGTATACGGTGGGATCAGGATGCGCGCCGCAACGGATTGTGTGTGTTGTATTCATTATTGTTATTGTGTTGGTTTCTACGTTGTTACATGAAATTTTCGCGAGATCTGTTATTCTGGGTTGTCTTATTACAAAGACTGAGTTCTTTTTCATAAATTAACTACCTTATTTTTCCTGTTTTCCTTTCTTATTATTATTATTATTATTATTATTATTATTATTATTATTATTATTATTATTATTATTATTATTATTATTATTATTATTATTATTATTATAAGACTTCGTACATGTTATTGTAAGTGGCCCGCCTTAGCCTCGTCACAACTTCGTCGAGGTTAGGCTCGGCACTTACAAAGTATATGGGGTCGGTTGTACTCATACTACACTTTGCACTTCTTGTGCAAATTTTGGAGTTGGTCCTAGCAACGGTTAGTAGATTGCTTGGATCCGGTGCTTGACAGAGACTTGAGATACAGCTGCACAGTGTTCGCAGCCCAGAAGTCCCCTTCTACATTGCCTTAGCTGTTTATTTCGATTCAGACAGTTATGTTTTCATTTAGACTATTATTTGTAGTACTCTAGACTCTCGTGTATTCATGACACCAGTTCTGGGATTTATACTTGGATATCGCCGTTTAACAATTTTATCTACTTTATTTCAGTTTATTCAGCTTATTGTTTTTTTATTTGAATTGTTAAAAATTGCTAAAAACTATATCTAACGTTGACTTGCCTAGTAAGTGAAACGTTAGGCGCCATCACAATCACGAGGGTGAAAAATTCGGATCATGACAATTTACCATTGAAATGCTACACAAATAACTTCTGATGTGTAAAAATTTATCCTTTTTTTTTACCTTGGCAGAAGTGCAAATCAGGTACAACAAGAGACAAACTAAAGAGAATGAAAAGAGGAATAGCATTTCGAGTAAAAGGGATTGAACACAATTAGGGACAGAGAAGCTCTGAGGACGAGAGAAACTTCCAAAAGAAAAGACTAGTAAAAGGAGAAAACGTAAGTAATGTCGTTGTTTTTCTGAGGGAATAGTCTCATCTTTTTCTTTTCCTTCAGTACATGTTAAGAAGTATTATAAACTCTGACATTTGGCTCTTTGAATTCTGCAAATTCGAGGACTCAACGGTGGGCACGCTCGTTCCTAGTCTTGGAGCTTTTACCCTCTCTTTTTCTTTTGAAGAAGTTAGTCAGATGGGCTCGTTGCATTAAAGTTTGACTTGCTTCTTTCAAAAGCTCTTTGTACTAGTACTTATATAAAAGCTAAAGAGGAAAAATTGGATACCTTAAAAATGTAGTAATTGTAAAGTGTTAAAGAACGTGAAAAGCAGAAAAAAGAAAAGAAATAAAGTGAGCTACAAGTTATAAAGAAGGAAGAGTGGGTTTGCAAATGTTTCTTTCTTTTTGACCAATTGTGACTACTTTCTTTCTTCATAGCTAATCAAGGCTCTAAAGTCTACTACTATATATATATGCTGCTACTAATTAGTGTTTGTGAAGCTAAGTCCACGCAAAACCCAACCGAGTGTCTAGCAAATTACGCCATTGAGAATAAATGGCTCCCCACTATCAGAGCAAGTGAATTCCCTAATGTCCCATGTCTTGCATGAGCAGTTCCGGCTCAGTTATTAAAAAATTACTACTAATTCCTAAACCACACGTAGGATATTAACTTGAAGGGGTCCAGTGTAGCAATTTGTTTGGACATGGGAAATTATGAGTAAGCAATCTTGAGTATCCGTTGTTAATCCAATTGGATACGAGTACATGTCTTTTTAGTGGCGGAGCAACAATATTTCGCTATCAGTTCGAACGAATTCAATAGTTTTTGCTTAAATATTATATCTATATCAAGAAATTCATTGAATATATATAAAAAATTTAATTCATACCCAAAAATTAAAATAAGCTAGCAATAAATTTGTTTACAAATTCAGAATCTGTATATTTTAAATCTTGCTTCGCTTCTATCCTTAGCT